GGTAACGTATTTATAATTACAAAAAAAAAAATTATCTCATCAAATAAGTTATATAAATTTTTTTCTTGTGCGGAAACATTTTGAATGGGATGTCGACATCGATCCATTTGTTAGAGGGGCATAGGAGCATATTGCTAGGAAACGTTATGCTAACTTCGTTTACAAGATCCGTTTGATGCGTAAGTGACCTCAATTTATGAGTTAGGAGGCATGGGATGCGTGGCAAGTTGATTTCAAGAAACCCGATCGCGTGGCTCATTCGGGGCAAGCATCGCGTAACCGATTGTCGGAGATCGATGGTCTCGGTTCGAGTCCTTCCGGATATACGAAGGGCTCAATATCTTTACGAGAGCATGTACGTTGCTTGGTAAATTAAACTCTATTATTATTTACTTATATCATAACATATCAATTTGGGACTTGTCATATTATTTGTAATGTTTTTTTTAGGCAATAGAATTAGGATGCCCACCTATGAATTTTGAGTTGTTCTAGAGGACTCATAAGAAACGTGATGGTTCATTCATCTATATAAGCTCCCAACGAAACATAGGTTAGTATTTGTTAATTTCAAATATTAAATATGAAAATTTATTCTCAAATTTATTTTAATACTGTAACGATGATATTATGATTTTGTTAATGCACGACCATATGGAGCAACTAATCAATAAGGAAGTTGAGGCTCAAAGGGAGGCAAGAATCTTAGCGCCGTAAATAGACCGAATGTCATATACATGTAGGCTTTCGAGGAAAAGAAGAAAAGATTTTATGGGATCGGTACATAATCGGTGCATTATGTGTCTTGATTAGGTGGCGGCAGCTCCTCCTCTCGCGACGTCGCAATACATGATCGATCCGGCTAGCGAACAATTTCGGATGGACTACAAGGTCACTAAGAAAGAGGTTATCGAGCTTAAGGAGACTATTTATAACATAAAGTCTCAATACAATTTCATGGCATCCTTACTAATACGGCTAGCACGAACATCCGAGTTGTCTATAGATCCATCGATCATTCGAGCAATCTGCTAGTCCTTCCACTCGGCCTTCGGTTCAGCCTTTAGTCGATCCTCCAAGTGAGCACTCGGCATAGGATGATGATGAGGATATTAGATTACACGAGCATGATGAGTGATGTAATATTCAGATCACTTTGTTTGTTTTGTTGTTTTTTATGAAACATATTCTAGGATGATTGTGTTAATGTTATTTTATTTTTCATATATACATTATTACTTATGATTTTTTATTATAAGTTTTAATTATTAAATATTTTATTAATAATATTCGAAAATGTCAACAAAAGTGAAGCAATTGCGGAAAAATTCATTTTCGAAAATACCGACGAAGTAGTGATGGAAATTAGCGATGAAATAATGACGGATTAGCGACGGACATTAATGATGGATTAGCGATTGATTTATTTTCAAAATTAGCAATGGGTTAGCGACGGATTTATTTTTAAAATTAGCAACGGATTAGGTACCTAAAAGGAGAGCCATCCGAAGTCAATTTTAGCAACAAATTTTTTGGGTTTAGTGACAAATTTTTCATCACTAAATATAGTGATGGACTTAATATTCCATCGCTAAAATTTAGCAACCAACGAATTAGCGACAAAATTTTATCCGTCACTATTCCATCGCTAGTTGCAATTAGTGACGAATTATTGTATTTAGCGATGGATTTGTCCATCACTAAAATCAAAATTTTTTTGTAGTGTTAGGTTCTTCGACAAATATGTTTCTAATATAGCCAGATGTGTGGATATGTACAAATGCAAATTGTATGGCATAAAAAATATGACTTTCATGTATTTATGTAAAGATTAGTGCCTATTGTATCTTCGGAGCTATTTTCGATAAATGAAGGAAAAAATGTAATGAAATTGAGGTAGTCAAGTAGTTTTATATTTTTTTTTATATTTATTAAACTATATGATGTGATAGTATAGGTGCAATGACTTGTGGTTTAGACCATCACCATCTAGTGTCTAATTCAACTAGATCTTGTGTTTATGGTCATGGTTATAGAAATGCTTCGACCCTATACACGCAACCGAACTTCAAGCATCACTAACGGGAGTATTGCCATTAGTAGCATTGCCATCGTATTGCCCCTATTACCCCTACCTATTTCCCGCCTCCTCCCACACTAGACACTTCTATGCCGGGACCGTGCCCAACAACGGATGTTGCATCGGTCGTTTCTTTTACTCCCGGCAACACTTCTATGTTTGATGTTAAACGAACCGTTTATGATGTTCATAACAAGTAATATATCCGCAATTGCATATAGAATTATCTTTTCTTTAAATATGGTAATTATTTTTATATCTAGGTATATTATTTGAATTATTATTCACTTATTGATTTTTCATTTGTTGTGTTCAATAGTTTATATCCATCTAGTAAATACACTCATTAGATCACCGTAATTTTTAAGGAGCGAGTGGACCTTTCTAGAAGTCAATCTCATAAAAGACAAAAGATTTCTACTTGAAAGAGTTTAAAGTAACATTTTAATGATTTCTTTATATTAAATTTAAATTGGTAATATAAAAAACATTAATATTAATTTTTTCTTCCTCACATATGTATTTTTTATGGAAGGAAGCCATCAACTTGATGGTTAAAAAGAGATAGGAGTGACTAGCATGCAAATGGTATGTCGACTTGTCGACCAACCGCAAAAAGAATACCAACAAACCCTTATTTATCCCATAGCTCTGTATAGGATGGATGATAGCGAGGATTAGAACTTGCTTGAGTTTCGAGCTTGTTCTAAGTAAGCAATACGAAACTATATGAGCGAGACGAATAATGTTGGTATTGGGTCATCTAGATATGAAAGGCTCAATCTAATAGATAGAGCACGTTGAATCAATGGTGAAGCCTATTATCTATTGCTTTAAATATTTGAATTTATTATATCTCATATTATCTATTTTTATTTTTTCAAGCAAAAAAGTTGGATTGTGACCTAGATCCTTACAAATTATTCGTGAGAACTCATAAGCTTTAAGATAGGTTATTCATGAATCTATGATCCCAAGCAATTAGGGTAATTTTTTTCACTATTTTAAGTATACGTATACAAATGTAATCAAAAAATTATATTTATAATTTAATATTATAATTTTTTGTTGCATAAGAATTCATAGACCGATTGTATTAGTCGGTTGCTAGTTAGCAATCGATAAATGATTCGTCTCCATCCATCGACATGTCATTAATATATCTCAATAATGTAGTAGGAAAAAAGAAGCATAGAGTATACAACCCGATATCACATACATCTCATTATTACCCACATTCTAACAACAACTCATCCGCTATCACATTTCGTTTCCCGGATCATATGCATAGGATCATCGAAGTGTTAACAAAAGCTAGATGGCGCATAGTATGACCATGCTTAGCAACTCCAGAAGGTAGAGAACAAATGCAATATAAAAAACCAGATTATACAATGACAAATGCAAAAGGTGGAGCAATTGTTAGAGAAATCATTCAAGAGTCGTGCTCCTCCTTTTAACCCTCCTCTTTCCCCTATAGAAGAGTCTATAATCCCTCCCAATACCTAAGATTCGAAAAATGAAGTAACAAATTATCTTTATGATAACTAATTTTTTTAAATAAATTTACCAAATGAGATATATATACATACATACATATATATTAAATTTGAGTTTGTATTCATTTAATTTTATTCAATAATATTTCGAATTATAATTTTAATCATAATTATTGATTATTACAACTAAACATTTAAACAACTATTAATAAAAAAATTTTTTGCATATTTTATCGACAAATCTACAGACCACCTAATAATAAAAAAATTGAATAACATCGAATACCAATGACTAAGATTAACGATAAACTTTAACGACAAATTTTCATTTCTATACAACAAATTTTCATTTCTATACAACAAATTTCGCACTAAATATACCATTATTTATAATGAAATAGTAACAAAAACAAATGACAATATATCCATTGCTAATTAGCAATGAAAATTCTATTCCATCATTAAAAAACACTAATGATGAGAATTTAAGCTTATCATTAAACCAATATAGCAATAAAATTTACTTGTTTAACAAGAAAAAGTTTCGTCGCTATTTTGTTTTTTAATATATAATATCATTTTGCTTTCATGCTTTATAGGGTAACTAGGCAACATTCTAACATAAAAAAAAAAGGCCAATGTTAAATAGGAAACATATGGGTGAGAAGTGAAGGAGAAGGAAATGAAAGAAATGAGAGAAATAGAAGAAACAATGGCTACTCAGTTTTTTTATTTAAACAAGCTACCATAATTTTTTTCAAAAAAAAATTCACCTGAATACTCACTTCTAAATTTCCATTCAAGCTTTATAATTTCTATCGCTATGATCTATCCTAAATTTAATCAAGCTTCAATAACTCTAAATACCTCAATTTTTTCCCTTAACCTCCAAAACACATGTATCAAAAAACCACAATTAAATAAACAATCACGTATTTAAACAAGAATATAATCCATCACATACATGCACAATCATAAAAAGTAGAAAAACAAAATTACAGGCGTTACAAATAACGCCATCTACGCTTTTTGAAAAATGTTTATTCCTGATCATACCTTTGTTGATTACTAGTCTATAATTGAAAAATGTAGCACTCTCTAATTGTAAAATGTAGCACTAAACACTATTTCTTCTTTGCAAAACCAATCTAATTAACTCAAAGAAAAATGCAGAAACAGAAGATTGTATATATGAGACAGAGACATTCTTTAATATGATCAGCAATCGAAATGACAACATATATTGATATACGCAATCTGAATAAGGGAATGCAGGAGACCCCTTAGACCGAGGCTTTGCTTGCCACTAATTGCCAAATTAATATAGCTGCAAGCTAGTAAATATATGAGAAGTTCGTTCTTAAACTAGATAGTATAGCACAATAATAATTAATAACACACACACCATATATATATTACATTCAAGGGCACTTGGGCTTGTTGCGGCGGGTGGTCATATCAGTGTAACACTTGCCACATTTCTCCCTGTTACCATAGGTCCCTGGGGGCACGCATTTGCATCTGTCACAGCAAGTCATGCAAGCTCTAACGCAGAGTCTCTGCCTAGAATGTAATTTGCACCTCTGTCCGCATAGAGGGATGCAATCTGCCAATATAGTCACCAAAAGTATCAAACCCATCCGTATAAAACAAGTATAGAGAATCGAATATTAAGTTCATGTTAACATGTTGTGAGTGAAAGATATCTTACCCAATCTAGTCCTAACTGGCGGAGGCATTGGTGCTGTAGTGGGTGGCTTCACAGGAGGCAAAGGTGTGGGTGGCCTGACTGGGGGTGCTGGAGGTGGTGACTTGTAGAGTGGTGGGGCAGGAGTACTGGGTGGCTTCACAGGAGGCACAGGTACTGTGGGGGGATTGACTGGCGGTGCTGGAGGTGGTGTCTTAACTGGCGGGACGGGAGTGGGTGGCTTGTACACTGGTGGCAAGGGACTAGGTGGCTTGACCAATGGAGGGGCGGGAGTCGGTGGTTTGTACACTGGCGGCACGGGACTAGGTGGCTTGACCAACGGAGGGGCGGGAGTCGGTGGCTTGACCACTGGAGGTGAGGAAGTAGGTGGCTTGACCACTGGAGTAGCAGGAGCTGGTGTAGGTACCACAGATTTGGAATAAACAGCCTGCTTCACCAAATTTCAAAACTAAATAATTTTCTTGTTTGTACGTAGAGGTAAATATTAGTAGTAAAATTGGGGATTGTGCTAGGCTTTAGTTGTTGTCGTTATAAAAATAAAACAATAGTATCAACAGATTACACATTCATTCAATTAGAACGCCTGAAGAACTATCCTAACAAATTTTTTTTAAATAAAAGGGGGCAAAATTCTTTAAAAGGGAATTGAAGATAAGTCTGTATTTATTTGAATTACCAGACTTAATTGAAAGCAACATTGTGAGGAATTTGTCTAAAAACAAAGCGTTAGCTTCGGTTATTGTCATGAATGCTACTAAGTTATACTTTGCCTCATTTAGTAAAATCATGGTACATATCGAATAATATTTCATTTAAAACCCCAAAAAAAAAAATTGAAAATTACCTTCTCCTTCAAGTCTTCATCCATATATGAAGCCTGCGACATTAATTAAAACACTAAAATTTTAGTAACTTACTCAAACAAATGTACCTGTGTATGTATGTGATTTGAGAGTGGAATATGTGAGTGAGAGAGAGAGAGACAGAGAGTAAGCGAGAGAAGGTCATACCTTTGCAGTAACAAAAAGAAAAGCAACCACCATAAACCACACAGCTTTGAAAGCCATTGTAATTTTAAAGGACGAGCAGATACAGAGCAACAAGGAAGTGAAAGATCTAGCTACTTAGCCACATTGTAGGAGAAGCCTCCTTGTCTGTTTAAATAGAGCGGAGCATTGGAAATAGATGGATTCCCTGACGTAAATTACCAGCTGGCTGTGTACATTAAATGAGAATGCCAGGTTTACCAGATCTCTAAATCATTACTTATGTCCATTTACCCATGTCGGTGTGCGTCCTTTGAGTTTTTTATTAACCTAGGCACGAGGTCTGCTCTTCAAATGTGAAACAAGCCTACTTTTTGTCTCCGTTCTAATTTTTGAATTTCTTTTATGACACAGTTAATATTTAGTTTAATGGTAAAAATTATCTTTATTTTATTGTAATTTAATAATTTTAGGTTTTTATTTTTAATTTACGTAATTTAAATATCAAAATATCGATTTTTGAATAAATGTTATCTTAATTTTTTAAATATTTATAACAATCAACCTAATTGATTGTTAAATTAAATGTTTAAACAACATTGTTTAACTATTCTGTTATTAATCTTTTTATATAAAAAACATTAAAAAAAATATTTGTTCTTATTTTATCAACGCAATTGTAACGTAATTCTTTTTATTTAAAATTTTTATATATTAATTCTTTTAATTTCTCATATTCAATCAAATTTTTATTTGTATATAACCTTTTTAATTAAAAAAAAACTTTTATGTAGTATCATTATCCATTAAAACAATCAATTTTTATAATTAATAAAATACAAACATTTATAGGTTAAATTTGATAAATTGAAATTATCAACTAATTAATTTTAACTGAAAATTTTCTATTGTCATGCTAACAAATTTATTCTTGTAATTATCAATCATTAAATTTTAAATATAATTGTAGTTATTTAAGAATTTTTGTTATTCACATGTTTTCTAGGATTTTGTAATTGATTCAAATATATAAGATGCATTTAAATTTGTTGGAGTTAAAAAATTATTTTTTTAACTTTTCTAATTTTATTTTTTTTACTTTTTAAAAAATAGGTTCGGAAAGTTAATTTATTGATAAATTTAATAATTTGTTTTTTATTTATAGATAAATGGGTGAAAAAATCTCTCTTGAAAATTTGAGGAAAATAATTAGTAAGAAAAATCAAGTGATCCAAAGAATTTGAAATCTATCTTTATCGAAGCAATTTTTAATATTTTTTTTAAATTAATAGCAAAATGTTTAAATGATGTCATTTAAGCATTCTTATTAACTTGACTATTACAAATAATAGAGAAAATAAGATTTGGATAATATTTATCAAAAAAATGATATTTTGATATTCAAATTATACAAATCGATAATAAAGATCTGAAATTACTAAATTGTAATAGAATTGAGGCAATTTTTGCCATTGTGTTTACTGTATCAAAGTTATTAACGAAATAAAGTAAATAAACGATTGACATGTTTCTTTCTTAAATTAAAAACATTTTAAACTTTAAATAAAAATGAAGAATCAAATTCTTAATTTTGAAAAAAAAATACAAAATTTTAAAATTGCTTTTATCTTAAAAATTTTTATCCACGACCAAAAACAAATGTAATTATAATTTTGCCCTCTCTTTTCTATGCTATATATTCTTCTATTCTTTAAAAGGATGACTTTTTATATTAATTTTCAAAGGTAAAATTGTAATTTAATATTATTGAGAAAAGGACACTTGTAACATGATTGAGCAATTGACAGAAATTAGAAGAAAGAATTTGATTATCAATTGTGAAAAACTTAACTGAATCAAATATATATACACACACCTGATTGAAAAGTTAAGAATTGGTGTATTATAGTGCAATTATCCTAATCTAAAACATTAAACTTTCAATCCTTCTTCATTTCTAATTTATAATGCTCCAATTCAGATGGATTAATTTTCATAATTTTTCTCTTATTAACTAAATAATTAAATAAATAAGTTAAAATCTTTTTTCTTCCTCCCTCTTTCTCATTTTACCATAGTTTTTCATTTATATTCTTATTGGCAAGCAATTAGATGAATAAATACTTTTTTTCCACGCTATTTAACAATTAGACATATATATTCAATTGTCACCAACTACAATTATGTAAGTACTTGTTCCAAATCTTATCTACATAAAATAAAAACAGCCAAGTATAAATTTTCCATATGATAGATAACATCTCATATGTGAGTCAAGTAAATTATTGTTACATCAAAATAAATTTTCACGATGCACCATATGAATATAGAGTGTATTCTAAGATTTCTTGGCAAAAAAAATAAAAATAATTTGATTTAAGTATAAAGTATTACGAAGTTATCTTTTAAAGTTAGGAAAAAAGAATTAACCACATAAATCTTCTTTCTATTTTTCTGAATTTTTTAATATGATACCTATATAATTTTTTTTATTCAACTCTCTCTACCTTCAATATTTTTTAATATGATCTATCTGGATGTTTACTGGTTAATTTTCTAATAAAAAATGATATCTAGAAAAAAGAAAATACCACGTGGCATGATAGGTTAAATTTTTCTTGCCACTTGTAAAAAATGAAAAATAACTAATATATATATATATATATATATATATATATATATATATATATATATATATATATATATATATATCTTAATTTCTTGAAGGAAGCATTAAATTATAGCATACATAACATATTCTCCATACAAACATTCCAAAGAACATTAAGCAAAAGGATGAAAATGAATAGATAATTAAGAGCCTCTTTTTCGTTCTCTAAGGAGTCCCAGGCATGAAGGAAAGAATTAGTGCCAACCCAAAAAATTAAAAAAAATGGCAAAAAAATCTTCAATCAGTGCAAATTATGTCCATGTTAGATACTAGACTTATTACAAAAACCACAACTAACTAGCTCGCTTGTTGTACTTGAGCATACGAAGTAATTGTTAGAAAATATATTAGGGGAGAACAAAAGAAAGTATGATGAAATCTCATATTTTTTATATTGTATCATATTAGTCTCATATAAAAGAAGTCTTTTGAATTGAAATTAAATTACAACTCTTACCGGACCTATATTTATAGTAATCTCATCGCTAATACGTTACATTTATGTACTTAGAATAATTAAAACTAACCCTTCATTAAACTTATTGACTCTTCGAAAAACTTACTTCGACGTTATACTAGACTTCAAATTTAATTCCAACACCCATCTTTAATTTTGAAGGTCTCATAACTCTTGCGATTTGAAATATGTTGGTAATGCTTGCAAAATTTATTGTATTTGTATTTCATCTTGGATCATGGCTACTCTTAGCCATTTTTTCTTGTCTTGTGGCCATATTTCTTTGGCCAAAAATCTTTCTTTGAAGATGTAGCTCTTCAAGTGGCCATTTTATTTTGGCTCACTCTTCATCAGACTGCTGCTTTTTTCATCATCATGGCTATTTGGCCATTTTCTGACATTTTTTTCCTTTTATGTGTAGATCTTATTCTCTCTTGGGTCTGCAGGCCATTTGCTCTAGGATCTACTACCCATTTATCTATACACATGCTATACTCATTTGAATGTTCCATAAATTCCCAATTAGATCGAATCTGACTCTAATACTGTATTTAAAAAAATATAAAAAGAGGAGAACGGAGAGAAGTATGATAGAATCTATTATATCATATTACTCTCGTGTGAGAAGAAATATCTTGAATTGGACTTGAATTACAATTCTTATCGAACATATATTTATAATAGTTTAGGATAATTTTAGAAATTTACATCATTAATACATTACATTTATGTATTTAGAATAATTAAAACTGACTCTTTGAGAAACTTTTGAATCTTTGAAAAACTCACTTCTACATTATACTAGACTTCAAAATTAATTTCAACTGTAATTAATAAATAAACAAATATAGAAATGGAAAAAATAAAGCAGGATGACTTAAGCTTACTGAACATTAGGTAGTAGGTATTGCAGAGTGATGATAGTCTAAAGCTTTTGGGTTTGGATTTCAGAGTTGCACAGAGAGGTTGAGGTTGAGAGAAGTGAGTTCATGGTTCTTTGACCAAGGCAAATGGTAGGAAATTCCATAAGAAATGTATGACTAACTTCAAAAATCAAACCGATTACATTTAATTAAAAAAAAAGTTATTAAGTAACTTCACTAAATTCACACTATTACAATTAAAAAAATAAAACCATTACATTAGAAATAAACCCCCAAAAGCTAACTTTTTCCTCTTTTTTTTTAACATTAAAACCAAGAAAAGAAAAAAAAAACCCACAAAACTACTAATTTTAGTAAGTCAAAGTCCAATCCCAACTCTACATAGTAGTTTACACTAAATTTATCATTAAAACATCAAATGATCGATTTACTAACACTTGAAAATGTATCCAATTTACATCATTAATCAAATTCCAATAATAAAATTGAACTCTAATACATACAACACCTAATTCAGATCATTAATACTTAATTGGTAGTGAATGAAAAGCAAGAAAGAAATTAGGAAATGTGGCTCCAATAGAAGGTAAGGTACAGCAGGATATATGATTTTAAAGAGGATGAAAAATGTGGACAATAGAAGTTGAGATGGTGGTAGGCACGAGAGAAGAGAGATGAGGAAATGTGTTAATGGTGGCCGTAAAGGCATAACAAAAAATGGATAAATATGTAGAGATGAAGCGGTGACCGTGATGGTGAGGAGTATGATTGGAATGGTGGTGGGAACAAGAACAGAGAAGAAGAAGAAGAAGATGAAGATGAATGGCTTTTTATGTTTTGTTACTGGGTTCAAATTTACAAATAAATATATATAATTTTATTTCAGTTAAAATTTTTATATTTTTGGTGATTTTTTGTTTTTTCTAGCATGTCATGTCATATATATATATATATATATATATATATATATATATATATATTTTGCTAGATGTCATTTTTTGTTAAAAATTAATTAAAAAAATCGTAGGAACCATATTAAAAAAAATAATGAGTAGGCAGGCAGGTTGAATAAAAAAATTATACACTAATCATATTAAAAAACCAAAAAACTTTTTTTTTTTTTTTACATAACTGAACCAATTAATGTCCAAATTAAATAAAAAGAATCTTAAGGGTTGCCACTAGGATGTTCTATGACTTTCTACGTGTCTTCACGTGGTTCACAGACATTAGTCAAATCAATCGGTGCTCTTAGATTCGCTAAGATACGTCTCAGTCTGCCCGACACCTCATTGATAATAAATGAAGTTGGTAGACGTGAAGAAGGGCCAATTTAATTATGGGGCAGACCCATGAGCTGGGAAGAGCATCCCGATGTCCTTCGTGTTTTTATTTAAGCAATATCTTAAATCTTGAAAGAAGTGTAATTTCATCAACTAGCCTTTAGCTTTGGTAAAGTCTGACAATATATATATATATTATGAGCTGTTTTTATTTTCAAATTTTATAAAAAAATTATTCAAAACTTTTACACGTTTCAATTTTTTTTATTTGAACTATTCATGGTTTTTAAATATTTTGACATTTTTCTTTAATTTGGTCCCAAGAAAATAATTAAAAAAGAAGAAGAAAGAAAATTAATCGAGATGAAATGGAAAGCAAAAAACTAGCAAAAAAAAAAAAAAAGAGCGAAATGGCAAAAACAAATAAAAGAAAAGAAAAAGGATTGAATTAGAGAAGTTGGAAGAATTCAAATATTAAAAAAATACCAATAAATAGAATCAATTAGCCATTTCGTTTTGAGAAATAAATAAATAAATTTTTTTATTTAAAAAACTGATCATTTAATATTATTTTTTGAAAATTATTTATAATTTAATTTAATTTTTTAAATAAAAATAAAAAATAAAAGGATTGATGAAAAAATAAAAAATTTTATAAAATAAAAATAATATTAAATCAAATATAATCAATCTTATTAAAGAATTAAATAATATTGTTTAAAACAAAAAAATCAATTATTATTATTTTTATAACTAAAAAGACTAATCTACAATTTACTCTAAAATGACGTAGTTTTGAGAAGCCAAAAGGAAAAAGAAAAACGAAAAAAAAGGACTTGTGCTATTCATTTCTCGTCTTTCCCTCTCCATTGTCTCTCTCTCTGTTTCTTTTTAGTTTTGTTTTTTCTTTCTTACTAAAAAAAAGAAAAAAAAAACAAATTCTGTCCTTCTCGTGCTCCCGCTCCCGCTCCCGCTATGCAACGATTCGATAAAAAAAATCATTTTAAAATTTAAAACTTTTTAATTATAATTTTTTATTCACTTAATTTTATAATTTTTTTTATAAAATTTTTACTTTAAAAACATAAATTATTCTCTTTGATGTATTTATTTTAAAATAAAAATATAATAATTTTAACTAAAATATTAATCAAGAATTTTAAAAAAACTTTTAAAATATAATTTTCATAATATTGTATTCCAAAAAATAAAGATATAATTAATAGATAGACTTTTATAAAAATTAATAAATAAGAAAAAATTCTTATTTAATGTTAAGAAAAAGATTAATTTTTTAAATTATCTACGCAACGCTACGGATAGATAGAACATCAAATTAAATAAAAAAATATAAATCTATGAAAATTATAAAAAGAACACGTAAGTAAAAAAATATATATATATATATAAATATAAAAATATTATATATATTATATAATAGTCAGTTTATGTAAAAAAAATAACGATTGATTTTTTAAAATTTTAACACCTAATTAAATTAAAAAACGAACATAAATTGATGAGAAAAAACAAAATTAATTTTTTAAAATAACATAAATTGATAAAAAAAACGAAAGAAAAAAAACTATTTGTAATGCATAAGTTAAAGTATTAAAATTTTTATTTTAAAATTTTAGAGATCAAAGTAAAATAAACTTAAAATTTTTTTAAAAAAATTAAATAAAAAACCTAAATTGATGTTAAAAAAAAAAAACGAAAGCAAAAGAGGAAAAATATGAATAGTGAAAATAAATAATAAAAAAACTCTTGCTACAGGAACAGTAAAACCAAACCACTTTTAAAAAAAAAAATTGCTTGTAAAATGTTGAAAAAGGCACACAGAAGGAAAAAAAAAAAAAAGCCAGCTGAAAAAACATTGTTCATTGAACAAGTAAAAGTAACAATGAACATGAACAGTAAAACTAAAAGAAAATGATAAACCACTGTAGCAGCAACTATTCATTACCTTTTCCTTCTCTCTGTTTTTTTTCTTTCTGTTTTCCCTTCTTCCGCCACAAGTGCACAGCTCCCTTTGGCCTTCTAGTAAACTTCACTTACGTTTTAGTCCCTCATCTATAACTTTCTTTTCTTTTGGTCATTAAAATTTTACTATATTTGATTTTTATCAGTCACTGTTCATTTTTTTCTTTTTCCCTCTCTTCCGCCAAAGCTCCCTTTTTCCTTTTAGTAAACTTTACTTTCATATTAGTCCATGTTTTATAACTTTTTTTCTTTTGGTGATTAAAATTTTATTATATTTGATTTTTATCTCTATAATAAATATTTTTTTATAATTTTTAATTTATTTCATTTTTTTAGTCCCTAAAAATTTAAAATAAAAATATTTAATCTCCTAATTGATGCACTACACATGCCTTTTTTTTTTCCTTTGGTTTTTCTCGTACTTTTTTTCATCAATTTTATGTTCTTTTTTTATTTGATTGGATGTTAAAATTTTGAAAATTAACTTTTTCTTTGCTTTTTTCATCAATTTATATTCTTTTTTAATTGGGTGTTAAAATTTTAAAAAATTAATCATAACTTTTTTCACACAAATTGACGATTATATAATATATCTTTTTATATTTTGAAATTAACATATACTTCAGCTTATATTACTCTTATTATTTAAATTTCATTATTTGAATTTATCATTTTTTTTATAAAAATTCTCATCCAATTAATATTTTTTATATGAAATTTTATTTACTGATATTATATAATTTATTTTTCTCTATTTTTTAAAATTTTATGTTAAAATTTTAAAACATGATTTTTTTTCTTTTTTTAAAAATAAATTGGAACAATATATATATATATATATATATATATATATATATATATATATATATATATTATTTTAAAAGGTTAAAAATGCATTTCAAATAATTTATCTCAGTTCACTAGATATGGTATAATAAATATATTTTTTTAACATTATAGAACCAATTTATTCAAAATAAGATGATTAAAATAATTTTTAAAGGAACCAACCAATTATTCAAATACTGTTTTTTATGTAATTTTATTGATTATTTTGTTAATTAATATATATATATAGATGAAATGCATATACTTGAAAAAGCATTAATCTTCTCACCAACATTAAATAATAATAAAATTTTATTTTTTCATTGGTTAATTCTTATGTAAGTCTATAAATTAATTATAATTTTATTTTTTAAATTCATTCTTGTAAAAAAAATATAATTTTAAAGTAATTTTTTTTAATTCTTAATTAATTTTTCAAGTTTAAATTATTACAAGTTTTTATTTAAGAATTCCTAAATAATAAGAATAAATCATGCTTTTTAAGCATAAATTTTATGAAAAACACACAAAAATAGTAATAATTATATAAAAAATTATTACATTTTGAAATGATTATGTTCTATTTACCAAGTAACGTTGCGTGAATAATTTCAAAAATTATTTTTTCTCATCAACATTAAATCAGAATTTTTTTCATTTGTTAATTTTTGTCAAAGTCTATCCATTAATTATAACATTTTTTAGAATAAAATATTATGAAAATTATATTTTAAAAATCTTTTCAATTTTTTATTAATATTTTAGTTAAAATTATTATAATTTTTAATTTTAAAATCAACCCATATAGAAGAATGATTTCTTTTTTTAAGCATAGAATTTATAAAAGCATTAGAAAAAATTAATTAAATTAAATATTATAATTAAAAAAATAAAAATTTTAATGTTCTATCGGACCCGCGGCATAACGCGGGCAATAAACTAGTATTAGCTAATAAAGATGTGGACGACTAGAATTGAATTCTCAATATTGAGGGTGGAGATATGATGAAAAGGAGCCTCCAAATTGTTCTTAAAAATGCTATAAAAAAAAGGCAATGTTGAGTTGCGACAGGCAGAGGATTTTTATCAGCTTTGAGTGAGTAGAATTTTCCTTTCCTTGAGCAAAATTCTATTGCCATCCTTGTTTCGATTTAATTCCTCCAAACTAAAAGATATATCTCATCTCCATAATCATGTGTTTTGAATGTATATTAGGTGAAAAATTTTGGTTACTTCGAACTAAGTGCATAAAGGAAAAACTATGTTATGCCCGCAATTTTAATGGCCAATTTTTGAATAAGCTTAGGAAGTGTTGCTAATTGGTTCATGTTTTGTATGTGGATTTTTTTTTCTTTTGTTTGCTAGGTAGGATGCTAGAGATGATAAGGATATAACACTTTTGTGTATATCCTCACCTATCATGTATATTCCTATGCAAACCATATAATTGTATGGAGATAAAAATCTTTTTAATGCATAAGTCTTTCTAATGCATAACTTTTTGTCTCTCGTAAATTCCGTAAGTACAAAACCTTAATGAATAAAATTTAATCTTTGGATCTTAAGTAACTTTTTCATGGTATCGAGTATCACGAGATTTAAACACCCAGTTTGATCCAAATTGTTAAGCTTTTCTTCTTCTTCCATGATCGATCTAACTATTGTCCCGTAATGACCTTCTCTTAAGCCCAAAAAGTTATCCCCCACCAAGCCTAATAGCTTACTATTGGGAAATTGAGATAGAAGTAGAATTACTAAAGTTTTTAAGTGATAAAGTACTTGTTGCACTTTTTAAGAGAAGAATTAGATTTCTTTTATTTTCTATGAATTTGAAAGGGCTAGACACGACTTTATATAGAAGCTATATATAGGAAATTACATAGAGAATTTAACATTTTCTAGGGATTTAGCAAAAAACATTAAACAAGTCTAGAAAAACAATAGAGAATTAAATGAATGACAACCAACTCCTTGGAAATTAAACAATGACTTCGACTCACGATTTTCCTCACAAATTCCCTCTAAAACGAGTGAGTCTCAACATGTCTCTAAACTTCAAAATCTTCACAGTAGTAATAGGTTTTGTGAGCATGTCCGTTGGTTGTTCATTGGTGCCGATGAACTCTAGTTGTGTCTCTTCTTTCTATATAAGGTCACGACTAAAATGATGTATGAGTTCGATATGTTTTGATCCGGCATGAAAAATTGGGTTTTTTGTCGGGGCAATTACGGACATATTGTCATAATAAATAGTTGTAGGACCCTTCGCTTCGATCCTAAATCATTGAGCAATTTCCCTAGCTAAACTCCTTCACAAGCATCTTTTGTTGCTGAAGTATATTCAGCCTTTGTTGATGACAAAGCAACAATGTTTTGCTTTCTAGAACATCATGAGATGGTGCTATTTCCAAGGTAGAAAATATAGGTCGATGTGCTTCTTCTATCAATAGTAGATCCAGCCCAATCACTATCGATAAAACCAAGTCAAAGTAAACTTAGAATCTTTACCATACTTCAAACCAAGTTGCAATGAGCCTTTTATGTATCTTAGTACCTTTTTTGCTCGTATAATAAAGCACACTTGGGTTGTGCATGAATCTTGATAACATACTAACGACTTGAGTGATATCTAGTCTAGTATGAGTCAAGTAAATAAGAGATCCAACTAGACTTATCTATTGATTTTCATCAAACTTTTTAGCTCCATCATTAGAGTTTAATTTTTTATTTAAATCATTAGGAGTACTTACAGACCTTACAATCCTTCATGTAGAATTTCTTCAAGATGTGAGCTGCATATTTTTCTTGGGAAATGAAAATTTCCCCTCTTCCTTGCTTCACTTACATCCTAAGAAAGTACTTCATGATTCCTAAGTCTGTCATCTCAAAGTTCCTCATCATTGAGTGCTTAAAATTAGCAAGTAAATGATGATTGCTCCCAAAGTAAATCAAATCATCAACATACAAACAGATTATGATAAAATTAGCTTCATTCTTTATAAAATAAAGTGATGGTTCATGAGAACTTTTTCGAAAACTCGAATTCGAAAGTAAGAATCAATCTTACTATTCTAAGTTCGTGGAGCTTGTTTGAGGCCATACAATGCCTTATTCGACCGGTATACCTTCTCTTCTTTGCCTTTGACTTCATATCCATGTGGTCGCTCTACATAAACTTCCTCTTTCAATTCTCTATTAAGGAAAACCGATTTGACATCCATTTGATACACATTCAGCTCTAATTAGGCAACAATTGCAAGAACAAGTTGGATTGTCTCAATTCTTACAAGCTGGTGTAAAATTCTTGTTGAAATCTACTCCAGTGCTGTTGGGAATAGCCTTTGGCCACTAACCTAGCCTTGTGCTTTTGAAAGGAACCATTCTCATTGTACTTAGTCTTGTAAACCCATTTAAGACCAATAATGTCTTTGCTTTTGGGAGGATCTACAAGATTCCAAGTATTGATTTTATCAATCATGTTCGGTTCTTCTTCCATGGCCCTTTTTCATTTTTCATCCTTTACTGACTTCTTTAAAAGTCCGTGGCTCACAAGAGAAAAAAGCAAAATCCGTATTTTCATTAGAGAAATAGCTTCTAAAATCGCCATACCTCTCCGACGGTCTTCTAACTATTTCGGATCTTTTTAGAATAGGTGAAGAAGATGAAGTCCTTTCATTATCCGGACTTTCGGATCTTGAACTTAAGCTACGAGTCGTAGTTCTAGCTTCTAAAGTTGTTGGATTCCGAGTTTCAACGAATCGATTCGGTTCTTGATGCTTCAATTTGGAACAAAATCTTGAATATTTGATAAAATTTAGCTATTGAAATTCCACTACCATACTACTCTTTCATCAAAGATGACATCTCTTGTCACTCTGTCGGCTTGTTATTAACAGGATTTAGCAACTCTGTAGCCCTTAGATTCATCGTTGTACCTAATGAATAGAAGCTTCTCTCCCTTCGATCGAACTTATCTTTATTTGGAGCCTTTTTAAGTAAGTAGGCTGGACAATCAAACACTTTTAAATGGCTAACTTCAGGCTTTCTCCTACTCCAAGTTTCATAGGGAGTTATGTTCCTTACTCGATTTTGTTGGAGACCCGTTTAAGATATAAACGGTAGTATGTACGACTTTAACCTAAAGAGAATTAGGAAGCTCCTTACCTTTTAACATGCTCCGAGCTATCTTAACAATGGTTCGTTTTTTCTTTCAGCAACTCCGTTTTATCGAGGGCTTTTGCTGACATTTAATTGTCTTTGAATGTCTTCTTTCTTGTAATAATTCATGAATGGTTGATAGATGAATTCACCTCTACAATCGATTCTTAAGGCCTTCATTTTCAGCCCACTTTATCTTTCAACAAGGGCTTTGAATTCCAGAAATTTTGAGAAGGCATCCGATTTTTGTTGAATAAAATACAACTACACCATTCTAGTATAATCATCAATAAAAAGGATGAAGTACCTTTTATTCCTAATTGACGGAGTTCTTGTGGGACCAAATATATCCGCATGAACAAGCTCTAAAGGAGTTTTGGCTCTCTAAGAAGTCTTTAAGAAAGGAAGATGGTGCATTTTCTTATAAACATAACCTTCATAAACTCCTTCTATTTGATTTATTTGGGGAAGACCACGAACCATATCCTTTTACTTAAGTAGTTGCGAGTCCCTTATGATTTAAGTGGCCATATCCGAGATGCCACAGTTGAGATTCGTTTGAAATTTCACCCTTCAAGGCTACTCGGTCTTGCATAGTTGATAAATAGTGGAAAAACTTTATTGCGAGTCATCTCAACCTTAGCCATCAGCTGGTTCTTTTTTTCTATAACTCTGTACTTATTTTCTTCAAAGACCACTCGATATCCTTTCCGAATCGGTTGCCCAACACTTAAGAGATTGTGAGTAAGAGTTGGGACGTAAAGAACTTCATGAATGAACTTTTGCTCACCGGATCCGGATCGAACTACAATTACTCCTTTTCCTTCAACTCTTTTAGATTTTCCATCACCAAGAATGACGGAATTTGAGAAATTTTCATCAATATTAACAAATAAATCGTGGTCATTTGTCAAGGTACCAAACTCGGTCCTTTCGCTTTCGACATTGAGATAAGTTAAAAACATTTGTTCTTCATCATTCTTTTTGCTGAAATTAGCTTCGAACTTTCATTCTTCTTATACTAGCGAGTCTCGGTCGAATGATTTGAAATCCGACACCTTTTACACCTTAAATGGCATTCGACTGAAGTGTAATTAGACTTTTTGCAAATGATACAATTTTATCCCCGATTGCTTATTATTTGAAGTTGAGTATTTATGCCTCTGCTTTGATCTCTTCCACGCCCTCGAGACTAGTTATTTTGACTCCTTTGAAACCGATCCGGATGCTAGAAGTTTCCTCTCTTCTCTTGAATTTTTTATCCCAAAATGACCTTTAATTGAAAGGCACTGCTCCAAAGATCGACTTGAGGATCTCTTCATTCTTTCCTCATGTGATTCTAAGGAACTACATAGGTCATATATGTTCGGAATTGAGTGATCTTTTGATTCTTCGATTGTTATAGCTTGCACGATCAAATTTTGGTGGTAGACTTATGAGAATCTTCTCCACTATCTTCTTTTCTTCAATTTGATCGCCATAAGCTCGATTTGATTTACAATTTCGGTAACCTTGGAGAAAAATTCTTTGATGCTTTCCGATTCCTTCATTGTTCAACAATCAAAGTTCTTCCAAAGTGATCGAAGTCTAATAAAAATAATTTTATTATTCTCTTGAAATTCTTTCTTCGAGTTTCCCATGCATCTTTAGCTTTACTAATGCCAAAAATACGTAGATAGATGGTCTTGCTGATTTCTTGATGGAGGTAACTCAAGGTAAGGGTGTTGTTCTTGATCTTTTCTTTATTCTGAACAAAAACCCGAGATCGAGTCTCTGTACTTTTGCTTGTAGAGGATGAATCATCACTTGTCGATGGAGAATCATCATACCTTTCTTCAACAATCCCCCATAAGTCTCATGCAATAAAGAAGAAACGCATCCGATCAACCCAATACCTATAGTTTTCTCCTTCAAAAATAGGTACTTGGCTTTGGGAATAATTGAACATGGTTCTACGGAGGAGGAATTGCTGATCGACATGGTTCTAATACCAAATTTGTTAGGAAATCGAGATAGAAGTAGGATTACTGAAGTTTTTAAGTGATAGAGTGTTACCGCACTTTTTAAGAGAAGAATTAGATTTCTTTTATTTTCTATGAATGCGAAAGGGCTAGATACGACTTTATATAGAAGCTGTACATAGGAAATTATATAGAGAATTTAACATTCTAGGGACTTAGCAAAAAACATTAAACAAGCTAGAAAAATAACAGAGAATTAAATGAATGATAGCTAACTCTTTGGAAATTAAACAATGACTTTTGACTCACGGTTTTCCTCACACTTACACCCGCAAACTCATCTTACCCAATGTCATTCCCAGTTATCCATCAAACTCGATTCGGCTAATTACCTTTTGTGGAAGACACAATGTTTATCGTTATTGCATGGGTACAAGCTTGCTCATCGGCCTTCTCACACCTACCGCAACCGATTCAGCCTATGCTAATTAGTATACATTGAATCAAATCGTGCTTAGTTGGATTGTAAGCTTCCTTTCCACAAATCTTATCATATAATTGAAATTAAATTCCAAACTCATCCTCTCAACTCTATCGTAAAGCATTAAACTAACTTTATTTCTCCTCAATTCTTGAAGGTTTTAGACCCCTTAAATTCGATACACTACAACATATCTTCACACATTTTAACAATCATAAATTAAATAGTTAAAGTATATAACTCCAATTAAAAGCAAATTTGAAATAAATTTATCTTTCTAGCTTTTTTATGGTCTATGTAAAAGCTTGTCTAATGTTGAAGTCATTTCAAGTTTTTGAATTGTGTAAATTATCAATAGAGTAATCCAACCTCTAACTTTTTACACAAGGAGATAGGAAAATGTTATTTCACTATTTTCTATATGTGGGGTGAGTTCTAGTCCAAACGAGAGTCCGAAAGAACATTAGTAAAATTTTATCATATTTGCCTTCAAATCTCTCTATCTAAATCATAATAAGGTTTTAGCTCGGATCTAAAGTCGTTACTTGTTCCTTTTAGATGTTTGCAACGATTCAAAGTAAATATCCAATCTAGTTTAAAATTTAATATGTAAATGAATGCAAAAAAAAAAAAAAAATCGCATAAAGTTAAATATTTTTTAATATTTTTTTGTTATCTTTAATATAATTTAATCTTTTACCTAAAATTTTTTAATACCAATTCAAATTAACAACAATTAATCAAAATTAACATACTTATTCATTTAACACGTAATTAAAATAATTAAAATTAAAATAACACAATTAACACTAATTCAGATTAATTAATTAAATTTATAAATTCAAATTAACATAATTAATTTAAATTTAATTTCATTAAACCTAATTAGTCAAGTAACAACTAACTTAAATTAATTTGAGCTAATTAAACCTAAATTTAATTCAAATTAACATAATACAATTCACCATAATAAATTTAATTAACTTAAGTAATCAACTACCAACTATTTTAAATTAACCCTAATTTAAATTCAAATTAGCTTAAAACAACTCACCCTAATTAAATTAACCTAATTAATCAACTAAAAATTAATTTATATTAAACCTAATTGAAAATAACCTAACTAAATTAACACTAATTCGAATTAATTAATTTAACTAATATAAAAATCTTAACAATTAACAAAAACAACAAATTAACTAATTAATCAAAACTAACCTAACAATTATTACAAATAACTAATGTGAAAGGAAAAAAAAGTAGAGAGAGAACTAAAAATGGAGGAGACAAAGGAGAGGAGAGGATTAAATGGGTGAAACACTCGGTTTTCGGGGAGAGAGGAGCGATGCATCAATTGGAGGATGTTAGGGAGGGAATTGCGTCGTCTTAGGTGGTCGATTTGGGGTCGGGCAATTGACGGCAACAAGAGAAGGAAAGGGAAAGAGAAAAAGAAAATGGGAAAGAAGAAGAGTTTCGATTGATTTAGGGATTTAAAATTTACGACGAACATGATTTTGTCACTAATTTATCACTAATTAACGACGAATTTAAGTGTCCCTCATTAATAATTGCTTAAACCGGTCATTTTATTTTCCGATCTTTTCGTAAATTGGGCAAAGTTAATAGTTAGTGATGGATAACTAATTTTCGTTGCAAATCCGTTGCTACTTAGCGAGTGATTTTCTTGTCCATCGTTAAATTGATTGTTTTATTTTTTGAACATTTTAGAATTTGGCCAAAGTAGATAGTTAGCGACAAAATGCTATAATCCATCACTTAGTAGCAATGGATTAATGTTTCCGTTGCTAATTTAATAAAAATGTGATTTAGCAATGAAATATAAAATCCGTCGCTAATTTTCCTCATAAAACCATCATTATTCCTTCTTTAGTGTTGACACGTTGTAAGTTAACGACAAAATTCTATTTGTAGCAAATATCCCATTTCAATATTGTCACACTTCCGTTTTAAAATACTTTTGTTGCAATTTAATCTTAAATCCATCTCAAAATAGAGATGGTAAAGTTGTCGTTGCTAAATTTCGTTGCTAATTGATAATTTTTTTGTAATGCTCCCGCTTGCCATAATATATAGGTCTAGATGCGGGGCGCTACACAAAAAGATTAAACCCGATATTGATTAGGAACCGATGGATAATATTGATCACTTTAAAGATATAATAAAGCATGCCCTAGTCCAAGGAATGCAAGTTTGGAGAAAAAATCTCATAGATTTTATTCATCAAACATATCGAAGTCTTTAATTACAAAAGAAGCATAATGATGCTTAAATTCTAGCTCCTAAAACCCCTTGTTAAAGTCCAAATGGAAAAATAATTTTAATTAGGAAAAGACTCCAAATAAACTTTCCAACTTAATTTGGACCTAATAACTTAAAACCCAAATCCAAACTGAATAAGGATTCATTAATCTGGTCCAAATTAATAAGAGCTTTCTAATTAAATGTGGAGTCCTAAGTAAGTATAGATCCAAACGAACAAAAGCCAAAATAAAGCGTTATTACAATAAGAAATCCTTATGGAAAAAAGAACAAATAAATAACCAAATAAAATAAATAGAAGGACTAATTATTTCGGCCTCCTTCAAATAATTCAGCTTGAAATTTCAGCTTCGAGTTCTCGTGGACACTCCGGGGTCATGGGAGGCAAAGACTGGTATTCAAGAGGATCAAGCATCATCATATTCTGCTGATGAGCAACGAAGGTTCTAAACCAGCAATCTCACTGCAACATGATATAAGTCAGAACAGTATGTATGCGCATCAAATTTGATGAAATAAGAGCAGCCATTAAGCACTCTTCAACAACAAACTGGTGGCCACTTGCTGCCATAAACTCACAAGAATGAACAAACTCGTGCAACATGAAACCTGAATATTCGCGTACATTTGGGAATCAATTCTGTCAACACTATCCAGTTTTTGAAAACAATGCTTCAACCAGGTTTATTTTCAAGATATACCAGAGTTGAACGAGTAGACATTGGCACCAATTCCGTTACCGTAGCAGGTATTTCTTGTGTTGTTGAATGCACGAACAATAACTTTGAATCAGTGGCTATCTAGGAAAACATAGGAGCATTAACTAACGTCGCAAACATGATTATGTTTTTTTACTTTCGGAGGAAGAATGAAAAGAATTATCTACAAGGTATTGGGCTGCTGTCCTACGCGTTTTTTTGAAGGTTACAAAGGAAGATATGGTGGCTACAATGGGTGACTTCGAAACAGTAGAACCGGATTGGAACAAGAACATTGTTCTTCATAGACTAGATGGGCTGGTGAAAACGACTTTCTATTTTGCAAAATAAAGACCAAATTTTGAAAAATAGAGGACCTGGTTAATTTACTTGGCTTGCTAAGAGAGAGTTTATAACAAAGAAGTCGTAAATATTCTCTTCGGTCCAACTAACGAGAGCAAGGAGTTAAAAGAGTTTGATTGGGGAAAGAATAGTTCAAACTCGAAGACTAGTTTTTTTCAACTCGAGGAGGTTGAGACGAGAGCAATTGACCATGACCATGAGAAAGAAAAAATCCAAGGCTAGTTGGACATGCTTGAGGCCAAGAGTTGGGCATAACAAGGCCGAAGGATGTTGAATGATTCAAGCCCAATTGGACTAAAATTTATCAGTCTTTATTTATTTATTTTTATGCTTTATTTTAAATGTTTTATTTTATCCTTATTCCATAAGGATTTCTAATTGTATTTTAAAGTTTAATTTGGCCTATATGTCTTTTGAATCCATATTTATTTAGGAATTAATATTTAATTTGGACTAAGTTAATTAGTATATATTGAGTTTGGATTGGATTAATTAATTCTTATTAAGTTCAGATTGGATTTAAATCGAAATAAGTCTAGGTTATTAATATTTTTTTTTATGAATTACCTAATTTTATCCTAAGTTTTTAAGTTAAGTATCCTTATGTAATGTGGAGAGAGAAGACTTTTGATGAATTTTGGATAAACTTTGTAATAACTTCTCTCCTAAATTTGTGTATCCTTATGCTTAGCTTAGGAACGTGTTTTTTGTATCCTTGACTTGGTAAATCAAAATAATGCTATCTTACTATTTGATAAGGTATAGTGAGATTTTAAATCTTGTCAAAATTAACTAAGACTTGGTTATTTGATTGCTTGATAAGTTTTGGCCAACCCATACTTTAGGGTTAGCTAGTTTTAGTTGTTTTGGAATTTATTATACATATTGATTATTGATTATTGCTTGGATTATTGTTGCATTATAGATTCTTTGTTTCGAAATAATTGGTATTTTGAGGATTGTTGGTTATTTGGCTTGTTGATTTAGTTTTCGTTAATCTTCACATGGCTAGTGTCACTTTGATTGCATCATCAATCTCTACGCACTTCATCAGATAACCATATTTATTTATGCTACATAGCTCATTTTTAATTTCAATGCTCTATCCCCTGAAAACATTGAGGATTCCTTAAATATTATGAGGATTCAATAATTTGATACCACGTGAAGAGCACATGACTTGTCTAGCAGAGAAATGGAGAGAAATTTCCCTTCAATTTTCTTTGGAGGTGGGTATCGCATGTCGTGACTTAACATTTTCATTAACTGTATTTAACGGAAGGATCTGTTTGAAAAATAAAAATTATTTGATGTTAAAATTGATATGAAAATTGTTTAGGTGCAAAATTGAGAATAACCCTATAATTGGGTGATAAATTCGAGGTTTGCTATCTTTGCCATTCTATTGACCTGAGAGCTCCTCTTTGTATAACCACACTTCTTTTTTAAACATCATCCATCCTTATCTTTTTTCCTATAGAATGTGGTGCTCCCTGAGATTAAAATCATGCCCCATTCAGATTGCAGCACACATCATCCTTTAACATCGCAAATAATTTTTACTCTACTATCCGGTCACTCATACACAGCACTGCTCACCGTTCCAACTCCGGAAGTCCATGATTTCCACAAGGAAAACAAGCCAACCGTGAGCTGGTTGAGCTTTCTTAAACAGCATGTTTTTTCACTATGAAAATGTAGTTGTACACTGGACGTAGATAAAGAAGAGAAGCCATAAACTGAAGAAAATCTGCTCCATCAGAGCATAGTCATTTAAGATTATTCTGTTAGATACTGCACAATGGCACCCAAATGAATTCATTCAAATTTGTTTTTTTTCTCTATCCCTACGGCTTACGTAAATTGCATGACCTAAACAAGGACATCCTCCTCATCTTGAAAACTGAGGTTCAATGTTTGTAACTTGAAACCTGAACTCTGTACCAGCTCAACCAAACTAGAAGCCACCCCTGTAGCTTGAACCGTCGTCTGTTTCGTTAACTGAATAAGCAGCGAGGAAAAAAAGAAAGAAATGAAAGTTATTATCTGCTTCAGATTTAACTATTAATAGATCAAAACGGATTCTAGGATTTAAGTTCAATTCAATCAATAGAGATAACCCATAAAACAGATCTGGTAAAGAATTTCACATTAGGGACAAAAAAAAAGATAAAAAAAAAGACCTCTACTACTTACGTAAGTGATCCATAATAAAAAGCAGACAATTGCTTGAGCAGATTCCTCATGTAAAAGGTCCATTAAATTAATGGATGTGAGTGAATATCTTTCCAGATGCCACCGTTGCAGTTATAACGGTGGCATATGCCCTAAAAGTTCTAACCAAAAGATAAACAATATGCCAATATCTGAAATACACTGCAATTTCTACCATAACATAAGTAAAGTGTAGTTCCTACGCACCTCGACACTTGCAATGCCCTCAAGGACTTGAACTTTTAAACCTGTCACACCCTCAGTTCCCTAAACACGAAAAGATAAAAGAAAAAAGTTAAGAACAAGCATGACAACGAGTGTGCTCTCTCATCCATAGTTTGACACATCTCAACTTGATTCACAGAAAGTGAATCATAACTACATAACAGATATGGCCACTGTGGACCTACTTTCCTTCGAGAAAATGGATGGGTCTATACTGATAATTTGCTTATTGCTTCATAATAAATAATTCAAGCTTCACACAGAATATCAATAGCATATCTACACATACCACCCCTTTTGTCCTTTGATTGTTTTTGACAATTTTTAGAAATTCTAGTAGACACCACCATATACAATATAAATGGAAAAAGAGTACTAGTTACTTATTCACAAAAATTAAGCGTCAAGGACATAGTCAGAGGTTCTCTTCATTTTTGTCACAACTCATCTTTGCCCTTTGATGCTTCCATGAGCTAACATGCAAATGCTAGCTTTTAGCTCCCCTATGTACAATATCGTTGGTTTTGGACAGTATGTCAACAACCAAACTTAAAAAAAAAGGGATCCTTAACCCACTTCTTTAACTCCCTCATACCAAATATGAACTCTATTGTAATTCCGGTTTACTTGAGGCGAGCACTAAATGACTTTACTAACTAAACTAGCTGGCACCCAAATGGATTTCTGTATTGATTCATTTGAAAAGCTTGCTTCGAACAAGATCAATGTTTACCCATCTCTTCACATTGTTCTTTGGTCGTTTGTCAGTTCTTAGGAATGCCAGCTTCAAACTGCCATCATATACAATCCCAACAGAAAGAGAATACAGATAAAGTTCTTAGGAAGTTCAAGTGTCAAAGGGGAAAATTCAACTTTTCTTTTTTCTGCTTACATCATTTCCTATATACACTGACTCCCAATGTTTGTTTTTTGATCCTTTAACAAGCCAATTCCACAAACCCATGGTTTCAACAACCCCATTTAAAATGTCAATAATTGGCACAATACCTTCAACTAGTGTTTTGATTAGTTAATTACCAGTATTGCACTAAGTTGAACTCATTCTGTTGAATACAAACAATTCCTTCCCTGACTACCATCAACACTCAACTATCATATCAGATATCAACTTATCGCATAAAGCTTCATCAAGAACCAAGTACACATTCAGTTATAATTAGAGGAGGAAAGAGCCAGGGCTTTATTTTCTCCTTTCATGTGATGGCAAATGACCCTCATTCTGTAGATGAACTAAAATAGCTTATTCGCTTTGTAAACAAATTGTGCACCTCTAACCGAAAGCAGCAACATGAAAAAATAAAAAATAAATAAAAAAAGTGGGAGGAGTAAAACATTTGTACCTCTAAGGCCTTTGTCACATTAGGAATAGCCGTTTCATTCATTGTTCCCTCTGCCTTGAGATATGGAAAATCAATCCAGTCATATTTTGAGTGATGCAGGTAAGGTATAAATAATGCTAAAGATAAATACAAATGAAATAGTAGTAAAATGAATCCTCAGGTACGTTTCAAGAAACAAAAGAACTAATTGATGAAAACCCCATTCGGTTACTCATTTCAAAATCTAGCACTTACAAAAGAAAATGCAAAATAAAAGAGGAAGCATACATAGATGCATTCCCTCTCTGGTCTCCATTGCATTACATAAATTGCGTTATACCTTACTCTACCTAAGAACAGCTTTAAATAGAAAAAAGAAAACACAACCACACTGTTTGTTTGATTGAATTTGCAGAAAAGAACAAAACATTCATAAGACGTGTATGAACTTGCCAGTAAGAATGAATATTTCTAATGGGTTCCAGCATTTATTTTACATATATAAATCAAACAATGAAAGCATTAAAAAAAATACCAAAATGACAGAAAGAGAAGCGAGATTACCTGGAAATACATGGTGAGGGTGTCAGAAGGAGAAACAGGGACAGACACCGGCCGTTGTTCAGCTCCTTCTGGTACTTCTTGTTGTTGTTCTTCTTCAGGGATTTGAGTCTCCTCTTCAAGTGACCTTAATCTTTTATACCCATGGGAATAGGAATTATTGGTCTTTTCCAGTGTGAGGTGCTTGAAAGAAATGGGAAATTCAAGGAAACGATTTGTGATACGAAGGGTGAAAGGACGAGATGGGGTTCTGTGAGCGTTAGGAGTGCAAACTGAGTGTAGAGTTGAGAATGCTGAGACTGTTGCCATTTTCGTATTTTGGATAAGAGATAAAGGAGAGACAGAGAGGCCGCTTTGCTATTGCTATTGCTATTGCTATTGTAATGGCTAAGAGGTTCTTAGTTTTTATGTTTTAACTCTCACTCGCTGTCCATTTCCAATTTTCCGCAGCTCAGGAAAGAGAAAACTCCCAATTCGTTTTTGGGGTAAGGTATATTCTACCCCTGTAACTTATAATTGTTTCAATTTGGTGAATTTGTCGCCATATTAGCAAGCATGGCAAATGTTACCCTTCCAGTCAGACCATTAATCTAGGAGTTAGTGGTTCGGAATGTCCTTCTATTATTTCGTTCGCATTGATAATGTTTCTTTACTAAATTTTTCATTAATTACATCCCTCTATTGTTATTCTGCATCTTAATTTTATTTCTCTTTCAAAATTTTCAGATAACAATGTTAATTTTTCACGATAAATGCATAGGATGTTCACACGAGGTAATTTTTTTAAAATAAATAAATAAATTTCTTAAAAAATTCCAAAACCCTCCTCTTTTTCTCTTCCTTCCTATGTTATGAAAATTGTTTTAATATATTTAAATATTTTTATAGCTTTATGTAATTTATTTTTAAAATTTAAATTTTTTTAAAAAATATTATCTACTAATTTCCGTACAAGTTCATGCGTTAATTGTAGCTTTATTTTTATTTTTTTAGCAATCTTATGAAAAATATATTTTTAATTTATTTTTTAATTTTAAATTAAAATTTCATTTTAGATTATTATAAATTTTTAATTTAGAATCAATGCATAAAGAAGAATGAATAATGCATATTCAAGTAGAAAATTTATGTAAAATATAAGAAAGAATAATTTAAATACAAATTTTGTTTGAAAAAAATATTGTTTTTTTTTCAATCTTAGATTCGATATATTTTAGTAGACCCGTAATATATCATAAACTATGAAATTAAAATGATTTTATTTTATCCGTAGCGTAGCATATGTAATTGATTAGAAACTAAAATTCTTGGTAAAAAAAAAAAAAAAAACTATTGAATCTATTTTCTAAACAAGCCTCGGGTACATTAATAATAAACAATTAAATGTTTTCATATGAATCAAAATAAATCTATATCAATGATCAAAATAATATATATATATATATTTGCTTATAGGCGTGTCTTAATTTAATTCTTATTTTATGCATGTGATTGATATTTTTTAATTGTTTTTATTATATAAGGTGTTTTAGATTAAAAGTATTTTGAGATTATGGAAAAATAGGGTAACCGTGGTTAGTTAAGTTTGATTAAATTTATTAAGTAAAATGGATAAAAGTAATGGAATTTGTTAGTCTAAAATAGAAGTGAAGATGAAGTGAGTTTTGTGGTGAATTAATGTATTGAGAAATTAAAAAAAAAAAAAAACTATACATATATATATATATTGTAACATCCAAAATTTTCTTCTTCATATTTTGCATATATATGCTTATAGGTGTGTCTTAATTTAATTCTTGTTTTATGCATGTGATTGATATCTTTTAATTGTTTTTATTATGTATGGTGTTTTAGATTAGAAATGTTTTGAGATTATGAAAAAATAGGGTAATTGTTGTTAGTCAAGTTTGTTAAATTTATTAAGTAAAATAGATCGAAGTAATGGAAATTTGTTAGTCTAAAATAAAAGTGTAGAAGTGAGGATGAAGTGATTTTTGATGTGAATTAATGTATTGAGAAATTAAAAAATAAATTTTTTTTTTAATAAAAAAAGGCCTTTATTGAAAAAACAAGAATAAGGTTGTTATTGTAACATCCAAAATTTTCTTATTGATATCATGCATATATATATATATATATATATATATATATATATATATATATATATGCTTATGGATTGTCTTAATTTAATTCTTGTTTTATGCACGTGATTGATATCTTTTATTTTTTTTTATTATGTAAGGTGTTTTAGATTAAAAGTGTTTTGAGATTATGGAAAAATAGGATAATTGTCGTTAGTTAAGTTTGTTTAAATTTATTAAGTAAAATAGATCAAAGTAATGGAATTTTTTAGTCTAACATAGAAATGTAGAAGTGAAGATGAAGTGAGTTTTGAGGTGAATTAATGTATTTAGAAATTAAAAAAAAAAACTTTTTTCATAAAAAAAGGGGCCTTTATTTGAAGAATAAGAATCGGTCATTTTCTTTTCCCATTTTTTCTTCATCCCTTTTGCTCTCCCTCTCAAGTGTTAACCTATCCACTTCAATTCCACCATCTCTCACCCATTTATAACTTATCTCACCACTAAAAATATTATGTTATGTTTTTTTTTCTTTTGATGAACTAATTTGATATTAAGTAAGATTGAAGTTTGAAGATTTAGTGTTCTTGAGTTTGAAATTCGAACTCACAAAATATGTACGATTTATACCGTGATTTTTGGGTATTTGATGTATCCTTAAATGATTATTGATGATTAAGAGGTTGAATTGTGGTGGGTGGTGGGTTTGTCATTTGACAAAAGGTTGATATAATTAAGGTTTTGAATTGAAAAGAAATTTGGGAAAAAAAATGAAGAATTAGGTTATAGAAATACAATTAAAGATGAATAAAAGGAGAATTAAGTAAATTATAGAAGAATTGGTGATTTATTGAGAACTCGTTGATGAAATTAGGGTCAATTGATGAAATTGACAATGAAGTATGAAATTGAATGTTAATTAATGATGAAACACAATTGAGTAAGTAGATATAAGTAATTACTAAGCAATTACCATGCCAAATATTATAGGAAAGAAATTACGAAAAAGAATAAGAACTAATAAAATTAAATGTTAGAGTTATACGATGATTTTCAATTACTTATGTTATATCATGTGTATATTCAAGATATTGAATTGACTCGAGGTATCGATTATTAGAGAAAGGTTACAATAAGTTGTAGTTTTAAGTAAATCAAGTAAGTATAACTCACCTACACCATAGATGTAAATGCTTTGTGTTTAATGAGAATGAAGTATGGTGATAGTCTTGAAGTGCATTCATGTGCATTCATATGTATACAAATGTTTTACATGTTAATTGTGATCAAATAAAATGTTTAAGTAAATGAATACGGTGCATATGCAAATGATGTTTTATGACGTAAAATATTTTGAATGCATGTTGAGGTTTTAATGTTAAAGGTAAAGGTTAACCGTTGAGGTTAACTATTGAGGTTTAATGTGAAGGGTTTAAATGCTATTGTCTATCGAGGTTTAAAGGCTGAGGCTTGAATGTTAAATATTGAAGTCAATGTGCCTATACGTTTTCATTGAAGGTAAACCCTACTAGCCCAATGGCCATAGGGAGTCGACTCACCCACGAAGAGAAAATCAAACTTAAGGCTATGATGTACTAGGTTCACATCTTCTAGCGCATCAAAATAAAGAAAATAGTTTTAAAAGATATTCATGTAATGAAAGTTTTTAATGTAAATCATACTTGTTGCACTTATTAGGATATTCGTATCTCACATCCTTTTTGTAGTGTAGGTACCGATATAAATGTTAAGGAAGTTGATGCTCGCTTTCGGTGACTCATGTGCGTGTCCTTGAATGTCTCTAAAAGAATGATAAATGATTTATGTTTTGATGAATGGATATGAGATTATGTATGATTTGTTTAAAATTTATGAATGCTTTTATGGATATAAATTGTAAGAATGTTAATTTTCTAAATGTTGAGAATTACTACTTAGTAACCGAGTGTGAACAACGAGTTAAAGTTATTTATAAATATTAGATGATGATGAATGATGTTTTTATAATTTAATGATGAATTGTGGTAATAATATTAAGATAGAGTATGAATGAAATTTTAACAAAATGTTTTAGCTATATTAATGAGATGATCATGTGGTTATATTACCGATGATAGGTTTTAATCAATATGTTAAATGACGAATGAGATTAAATTAGAAATATGGTTTAAGTGTAATAAAATAACATAAGTTTTAGTAGCGACCGGTTCGGACGTGACCCTTTAGATAAGGCATCTCGGGTAACAAGCATTATAACTTGGTATCGAGTAACATAGATTTTGTAGACTTAATTAGGAAATAAGGTTATTGATTTTATAGAAATAGATAAGGATTGAATGTTTGAAGTATGATGGCACATATGAGTTCAAGTTTTGGAAACAACGTCAATAAATAAGTGGTTACTTGGTTTATATGCATTATCGAACCGAGTTAAAATATGTATGGGATATGTATAATGATATTTGATTCTTCTATTAATTTAAACGTAATGATCATGATTATATAGTAGGATATTAGAAATTAGACCAATAATGAATGATGATGTAATAGAATCCTAAGGTTGAACAAATAACTAATTAAATGATGATTGAAGTTGAGTTGGAACTATGATATATATATATGTGTGTGTGTGTGTGTGTGTGTGAGAGAGAGAGAGAGAGAGAGAGAGAGAGAGAGAGATTATGGCTATTTTGTATGTCTATGGATGATAGAATGACTCCAAAAAGAAGAATAAGAAACATTGAGGTCGGAGAGGGTAGTGGTGCTTAGTCAAGAGATGAAAATGAAGCCTTGCCACATCGTATACTAGATATAATATACTCGGTAATTTATGGTAACCTAACTTCTTGACTTGTTGAATATGCTTTGTTAGATTGAGGAGTAACATACTCTTCTATATCAAGGTCTTTAGTTAAAATATTGAGTGTGAAATCTAAAATTTCAAAATATGTTTATGAAGTAAAATTACCATCTAAAGACATAATGCAGTCTAGAGACTTGGTAAAAGGATGTGAGCTTATGATTAAAGAGAAGTTAATAAAAATGGACTTGGTAGTGCTTAATATTAGGAATTTTGATATAATACTAGCCATGAATTGTTTGTCGAAGTATAAAGCTAGAATCGATTGTAAAGCGAATATGGTAACTTTTCAGCTATCTAGCAAAGAGCTATTAGAGTTTAGAATGAGTGAGAAATAAAGTCGATACTAATGGTGTCGGCTATAAAAG